AAAAAAAAAAAGATGCCAGTCCAGGGTGCCAAGGAGGATGAGGACATTCAAGAAAAAAATGTACAAAATAAAAGCTAAGAACACTAATAGAAATTCATTTCATATAGTTTATTTACAGCTGCGTTACATATACAGTATTTTATTATATGATATTGTTAGTAGTAGTAGTAGTAGTAGTAGTAGTTGTGTGCCTTCAAGTCGTTTATGACTTACGGTGACCTTAAGACAGGGGTCGGCAAGGTTTACTTACCTGGGGCCGGTTGCTGATCCCCAGGTTTTCCGCCGGGCTGGGGGTGGGGGAAATGGCGGCGCACGTGCTCATGCGCGTGCATGTGGCCCCCGCTGACACCACTGCCGCCGCCACCGCCGACCCCCGCCGCTGCCATGCGTACTGCGCATGCACAAATGAGTTGCGGCCACCATTTTGGCAAACAAAATGGTGGCTGCGATGCGCACGGCGGTGGTAGCGCGCACGTCGGCAGTTGGCGGGGGTCGCGTGTGCGCGAGCATGCGCACCGCCATTCCCCCCCTGGCCTGGCGGAAGACCTGGGGACCACCGACCGGCCCCAGGTAAGTAAACCTTGGCGACCCCTGTTCTAGATAGTAAGCCTGAACGCAAGGGTTGTTTATATATATATATATATATATATATATATATATATATATATATACACACACACACACACACACACACACACATATACATATGGCTAATATATATACACACATACATATACACACACAAACAATTTTGAGTCCTTTCCAGCTATACAACTAAATCTAACTGGCCAAACCTCCCACATACCATTTGTAACTTCTCTTTTGGGATTGCTTCCAATGTATCTGCCAACATTGCACAGAAGAAAACTGGGATACATTAAGTGTGAAAAGAGCAATATCACTATTTTGTGAGGCAAATTAATACTAGTGTGACCGGTAGCATCTCCTGTTTGTTCAAAATGGTAAAAGTTATTAATTTGGAAAAAAAAAAACCCACAAGCTAAGAGAGGGTGCAGCGGTGTGCTTTTGCCTGAGCCTCTTGGGAAGAGACTCTGCCTCTCCTCTCCCCTATCCCCCAGTAAGTCTGCATCCACACTGCTAAATTAATGCAGTTTGACCCTGCTTTAACTGCCATGGCTCAATGCTATGGAATCCTGGGGTTTGTGGTTTGTTGTGGCCCCAGAGAAGGGTAAATGTCTCAGAGAACTACAAGTCCCAAAATTCCATAGCTCTGAGCCATGGCTGATGAAGCAGTGTCGAATCAGATTATTTCTGCAGTGTGGATGCAGCCTACGTTAACTGAGTGCGGACTACTTTTGCGCTTTGAGCTCAGTCCACAGCAGATGAAGTAGTAGAGCAGGGGTAGGCAACCTTTTTGAGCAGGGGGCCGGGTTGCTGTCCCTCAGACAATTGACGGGCCGAAGCACCAAAAATAAATAAATAAATAAATAAAAATTAAAATTAAAAAAGAATTAAAAAATTTTAAAAAATGCATGCACCCTCTCTCAGCCCCAGAAAAGTCATGGCAAAACCCCTGTGAAGATTTTGCCAAGAAAACCCCAAGAACAAGTAATAACAACAGTAATCAATATCATCATGGGGGGGCGGCGGCGGCAGGACCGGTTTGGGGCCGGTCCAAAGGCCTTGCTGGGCCGCATCCGGCCCCCGGGCCTTAGGTTGCCTACCCCTGTAGTAGAGGATAAAGAGAGAAAGGAGAAGAATGGAGAAACTGGGATGTTTGAAGAGCAACTGAAAAACTGGGGAGAGGGAAGATTAATTGAGACTGTCCTTGTCAAACTAGATGAACATGTGTCTTTGTACTGTGTGTGTATAGAAGAATGCTCAGGTTAGCCAACCTTAAGAGTTTTCACTGATGAAACTTCATCCAATGATGTTGAGCGGTCCAAAGCCTAACAGAGGAGTTATTGATAGCAAATATAATAGGCTAGACCTATTGTGAGACCCAATGTGGCATAGTGGTTTGAGCATTGTGCTAGGACCCTGCAGACCAGGGTTCGAATCCCAGCTTGGCCATGTAAACCCACTGGTGTCCTTAGGCAAGTCACACTCTCTCAGCTGCAGAGGACAGTAATGGCAAACCTCCTCTGAAGAAACCCCATGATAGGTTCCCTTTTACAATCACCGTAAGTCGAAAACTTCGTGAAGGCACAGAATAACAAACAAAGACCTATTGTGTCGGACTGTGTAGTGGTCCTGCTGTACTGAACCCTTTGTGAAAACAATGAAAAAACAAAACAAAATTATTTTGTGTTACAAAATAGCAGCTGGACTAGGCATCGGTGAAAACTTGTATGACAGGATTCAATGGAGCCCTTTTGGAAAAGCAAAAGCCCCATACGGAAACAGAGCAGCTCAGTCCAGACCCACTGCCACCTTCTGGGCCATGAAGGGAGAAATCCCATGCTCAGAATCTAGTAAAGCTTCTTTTCCAAGCTGGTACTCTCCAGCTGTGCTGGTCTCCTGTCTGGGGATGATGGGAATGGAAGTTGAAAACATCAAGAGGACATTAAGTTGAAGAAGGTGTCCTGTCCAGCCTGGGATACAGAGGCAGAATTTTTTCACCCTTCTCTCTGAGGAGTGCTTCTACCTTGAGTCAAGATGCAACCATATAATATAATAAATATACAGTAGGCCCTTGTTATCTGCTGGAATCTGGTTTCAGGACCCCCCCACCCCACCCCACTCCGTGGATAACAAAATCTGTGGATGCTCGAGTCCCATTAAATACAATGGCATAGTAAAATAGAGAACAGGAGCCAGAGCAATGGCTGCAAGCTCCAGGAAAAGAGATTCCATCTCAACATTAGGAGGAACTTCCTGACAGTGAGAGCTGTTCAACGGTGGAACCCACTCCCTCGGAGAGTAGTCGAGTCTCCTTCCTTGGAGGTCTTTAAGCAGAGGCTGGATGGTCATCTATTGGGTGTGCTTTGATTGAGAGATCCTGCATGGCAGGGGGTTGGACTGGATGGCCCTTGTGGTCTCTTCCAACTCTATGATTCTATGATTCTATATAAAGCGGGGGAAACAAGTTTTGCTATTTGGAATTTATATATTTTTGGAATATTTTCAAGCTGTGGATAAAAAAATCCGTGGATAAGGAGGGCCGACTGTACTATGGGATGGAGTTAGGTTTCCCACAAGTGCAATCCTTTTCAAGTGCAATCCTCCGACAAGAGGGGGCTGAAAAATGCTCAAAACACCATTACAAAGCTGAAAATCAACTCATGTGGAATGACTCTGGCCTATATTCAAAACATTTCTCTTCCCCTTCTCTTCATTATACCAATCCGTGTTCCTTTTGATAAACCAGTGGCGTCACAAAGGGGCTGCGGGGAGTGCGGACCACCCCAGGTGACACTCTAAAGGGGGGTGACCCCACTGCTCCTCAAACATTTGCCTTCGGGCAGAAAGCGGCTGTGTGACATTCACCTATGGCCCTTTAAAATGCTGAAGTGGGAGTGGGGTGAGGCTAAGTAGGAGGAGGAAGGAGAGGCTCCAGTTCTTTTAAATTATCCGTATTTTCCGGAGTATAAGATGACTGGTCGTATAAGACGACCCCCAACTTTCCCAGTTAAAATATAGAGTTTGGGATATACTCGACGTACAAGACCACCCCTCTTCCAATGGAGGGAAATGAGAACGTGTTGGGGAAAAGGAGTGCAAATATACTAGGTAATGCATTCTGGAGTATGTACAATTTGCAGCCAAGTAAGTGACCCTGGGCATATCACACACTCTCAGCCTCAGAGGATGGTAATGGAAACCCCCATTTGAAGAAACATGCCAAGAAAACACCATGATAAGGTTGCCTTAGGAACGCCATAAATCAGAAAGGACTTGAAGGCACACAAGAACAACAAAAAAAGTCTGCAAT